GGCGATCTCTTTTTGTATCGAGAGTCATGTAAGAGACGCCAATAAAAGCAAAAAAGAAAAACGAAAGGAAAAAGAGACAACAACGAAATAGAAATGGTTAGCACGTATGTCCAATGTTCGCCAACCGTCCCTTTCGCACAGTCAAAGCTAATCAGTTCACATCACACAGTCGTTTTAAGTTAGTGTTTGCCCCTTCAGCCAAAATTAAGGCAGCGGCTAGTGGTCACCTTGGTCACCTTGGTCACGCCACTGATTTTTCAGGCGAGTCTGCCACCATGCCTCAAGCCTCCGCTTGGAGTATACTACACGTGTGTGTTCGTTGGTGAAACCAAGTTCCTGCTCCAAGCGGGCACTCACGATTGGCGTTGGGTGTAGTGCCCTGCAAGCAAGCAGCAAGTAGTCGATTGTCTCTTCGCCCGCTCCACACGCACTGCATACCGTTTCAGTCACGCTGCTATCGTACTTGATTTAGTATAGGCGGGTACGTAGGGTACCACCACGGGCCTCAATAAGCAGTCGACTGCCCAGCGTGTTCTCGCAGAAAGTCACCGAGGCAATCTCAGTCTTCAGAGACGCATACATGTGCATGAAAGGGTGTTGTAGCATGCCGCTCATCCGACGGTCCCTCTCAACCCTCTTCACTTCCTCCCGCATCGTGCTCATCCCCTCCTTTTCTATTTGAGGTTCAGTGGCCAAGCTGAAGATCTTAAGCTTTGTCCCAAGACGAGTGACTCGCTTCCTCCACGTCGAGTTGATATGCTTGAGGTGATTGTATATAAAAACTCGCTTAGCCCATCGGTCTCCGTCCATGTACCGGAGACGTGTGTAGTATTGAAGCTTGCTGTTGGCCTCCCGCGCCTTAAAGGAAGACCAGCCAACGTCGCTTTCTGCCAGTTCATTGGCTACTTGTCCATGACACCCTAGCGCCTGTCGTCCGACCACCCTTTGGCGCCGCTCGAGATATGCGCGTAGCTCACTAGGAACCCATATGACTGCATTTCTCTGCTTGACCGTGCCGTCTGGTGGCACACTATAATTCGCGCTATAATTTTCATGACCACCACTACCGGCTGCAAACCGCGATATATAGTTTCATTTTACAGCGAAGCTGTAAGTGACTGGTCGGTCGGGTTTTTCGTGTGCTTCCACAAAAACCCATCGCACGCGCCTTATAACCGTTTGCACTCGCTTTAGTATTTACATGTGGGTTTGACACTTGTTTCAATAAGACAACCACAAAAGAAGTGTCTAAATCTCGCGATAGATTATAAAACGCGCGCGAACGATGATAAGCCCGTAGCACTCCACGCATGAATTTCTCGGTAAAAATTCTGGTTGCGCAATGTGCCTCGGCAACGGCAGTGTATGAAGTGTGGAGTGACGCCACTAGCCCCGCTAACAATTTGAAGCACGTAGCGCCAACCGCATGCGCTTCCCGGTAAAGATTGGAGATGCAGATACTGCCGCCGGAACGGCAGCGTACAAAGTCTTTCAGATATAAAAACGTTTTGGTACAATGCACTTACTTTTCTTTGGTCAATCATTTGGTATAGACCCTTTTGCTGTTTGCAAGTATGAAGGGCCGCTTGCGTCCCAAGCGACTTCCGGTTGCACCGTCTTTGCAAGCCGGTTGAGCTTGCTTATGTCGCAAGTACTAGAAAGAATAAACGCTACACGGACAACAAAGTTGGAGATTTAATGAGGGCCTTCGGTTGTACGGTGTAACATTTTGGAGGAGGCATGTTGGTTTACATGAATAGTCGAAGCATTTACCCAGATCTCACACTCTTTCGTTCTTTCGGTGTTCACCTGAAGAATTGGTGGTTTAAACGTTTCATCTACACTTCAATCAGCGGTGTTAAGGTGGTTTTTGAGGACTTTTTTATAAACCGGAAGTTCTTTGAGAAGTCAAAGAATGGAGCACCACCCGGTGGCGTTTGCCATAAATAGAGTCTATACGCTCTGTGCGGAAACTATAAGGGGCGCTTTGACAAACGCGCGTAGCGCCCCTAGCGGAGGAACCTGGCGTTCGACATGAGAAGCGTTCAGCAGACTGCGGCGCATTTTCGTGTGCGAAGCTGTCGCGGCGGAAGCGTGCATGGAGAGAACCTTCGCATTTTGAGCCGATACGTTGAGGGTGACTTTGCGTGAAGGCTAGGGCAGACCTAAGAAGGGCGTCTAGCTGTTTTACGCTTATTATGTGTTGAGTTTGAGTTGTTTATATGGGTAATATCTCTAGTTGCGAAAAAGAGGTTCGAGCACTTTTTCCGATAAGCAAGATGGCCGTCACCATAACTGCACTCAGTATGAAAGTGATCTCGCTCGCAGCTGTAAAATTGGGACTGCTGGGACGATGAAATCTTGAAGCGAGCGATATAGTCACGAAAGGAAATCGTGTGTGAAAGCTATGAAGCAGGTGTGAAAGCTATGTTACAAATTAATGTTTGTAACGTAACTTGTTAACATAGCTGGCCACCATATTTTATGAGGAGCACGGCAACCGTGTTTCATGGAAGGCAGACACGGTGAATCGCATTAAAGTTTACATGGCACCACATGTGTAGACGAATAACACTTATGACTGCGTGTAAAACGAACACGTATTGACGTGCCCGCCATGGGACAACGGTTTACACGTCTGGGCGTGCTATTTTTGCTAACAATGTAGTTTGCTTGCACGTATACGGACCGTATTTCTGTGTGAGGCGCCCACCCAAACCACGTCACAGACAGCTTAAAAGGACCATAACACGATCTAAGACAGAATTCTTGTGACTGCATATAATTTACGGGATGAAACGAAAACTAGCAAGCGAGATTAGTAAAACTAATTTTAAGTTTTGCCATGAACATTTAGCAAATAAAAGAAGACTATCTCTTGCACTCTCTCCCTCGAACGCTCACAACGAAGCTTAGTGTATGGACGGGTGGATTAATAAATGAGTTTTGAGGAATCTTTCTTGAAAGGGCGGTAGCTTGCTCCACCTAGCGAAGTAACCGCAACATCAACACTGTTGGAGTATTTATTTTCCCCTGTTTTCCGATCGAGTGAGTTAAATTTAGCTTCAGTATTGGGCAGTAGTAGTGTGCCACTAAAACTGTGCTTGCAAGCGATGAAATTACCGATGAATAATTTCGACGAAAATGGCCGAGTTATATATCCGGTTGCATAAGCCACAGCGTCAGCGAGAGCACGATAGGTTGGTTTCTAGCAACGTTACTAAAACACTCAGTTGGGAAACTCCCATAGAGACAGCCCTAAAAATATGGCCCCAATCTGTCTCCGAGCACCGAGCTAATGACGAACACAACGCCACCATTTCTCCCGCAACGGCCACTCGAAAAACTGCACGTGACTTCTATTTTTGGCTTTGACAGGGGTGAAGCCCCGTCTCCCCGGCCGACGCGCCGCGTTGAACTCCCGAAGTTAAAATGCACCTAGGTCGGGACGCGCTACCTGAAAGGCCCGCTGAGGCATGGTTTTATAAAAACAATATTAATTGTTCCGCAAAACCTTGCGAACTAAAGATGATAAAAACATCTCGCGCCCATCATTTGGTACTAAACTCCAATAAATTTCATACAAAAAGAGTCTTTTCCGTTTGTTTTTAGGCAAAATACAGGCGTTCAAAAAGCTCGAGGTGACCATAGTACAGACAAACGAAAAAGAGTGGCGCTGTTGTCGCATTTAGCTCGGTCTCGGTGGACGCCACCGGCCCAGGTTTCGACGGCCAGTTTCCCAACTGAGTGTTTTAGTAACGTTGGTTTCTAGCGTTTTGTGCTCGCAGCCAAAATGTGAATCTACCATTCCGTACTGAGCTATCGCCACTCCACCGCGACCAGTTCCGGTGCCGAACTGGCACAGCCTTCGCCGGACAAGTTCTCATTTCGCCACGTTCCCGGCCCAACATATGGAACAAGACCAATACACTCTTTGTACCACAACCCTTTAAGTTGCCATTCACTCACCTGCGATGTATCCATAGCCATGGCGTTGCTTGCACAAGCGTGGCGGACCAACGAGTTCTACGAAACAACCAGCGTTCATGGAAACCTCAGTAAGTGGAGTCCTTTCGACATCCTTGCGTCGAAATGTCGAGGCAAAAACGTCGTTTCGAGGGAACGCGATGATTGACAGACGCGGCTCCCTCGCTCGGCTGGCAGAACTTGCTTTTCCGGTAGAAAGGCATACTTTAAATCACTGCCACGTCATTTCACATTTTGGTGGCCGAGTCCGTCTGAGTCGAAGAGAAAAGCAGACGTGAGTTTTCATCATATTTTTTTTTGCGTGCAGACATGAAGGCAATAATAAGAAAACGGATTACTGCTTCGGGTTCTAGGAACATTGAAAAGTAATTGGGGCCTTCACTTTGAAAGTATAGTAAGTTATTTCCTAATACCTTTCAGAAAGACAGGGCATGGCGAGTGTTGAACACCTTTTGATCACCGCACATCCTATGAAATGGTGGAATTAAGTGATAAGAACGCCGAAGAGCAAATCGCGAAACTAGAAACGCGAACATAAGCCACGACCGGCGTTTTTAACAATGTCAGTGACAACAACCCTGATCGGCCGCAAGTTCTTTGGCTGTCGAAGAAAGAATTTTAAAAGAGCTCACGTCACCTTGAATAAAAAATGGCACTTTAACCTTACAAAAGGATGTTCAAGAATGCAGCGAGGCATATAGCGTTCGTATAATAATAAAACCTAAGCGTTCCATCAGGTGCCTAGAGTAGAATACGTATTCTTCAAACCAGTTATTTCTGGTACGCACAACGCATTCTTCGGATTGTGCTGAATCGATTCACTGCGTGTACGTACATGTTCGCCATAACTGAATAATTTTAACGCAGTCTACGGTCGGTCACCCTCCTGCTAATACTAATGAGATATTTTCTTTCTCCTCAACTTCTTTGTTTTTCCAGCTTTCTGATAGGATGCATATCTCTTTCTGGCTCGCCTTTCGCGTATATAAGCTCCAACATTTAGTTCGAAGTTCGCAGTTGGATACTTCTTCTGTAGAGCTACATCATGACTGGAGTGAGTACAGAAACATGGAAATACAGCATATGGATCTTTCTTGCTATCTCTTCAATAAGTCTGTTTAATTTCAACACTCACTTATTCGTACAACTTTATAACCTCAACAATGCATAGGAAGAAATGGGCATTTGAGTTTTAAACTTAAGGTTGTTGCTCTATAGCTAAGTCGCGTAAACCTAAAAAGAAATTTTGCGTCGCATTTTTAATTAAATTTTAGTATTGTCTGCAGGTTGCAAAATGTCAGATATAGCTGCCTATACTTATGCTCCAATATTACCTTTAAAGCTGAGCTTTTTGTTTGTTGACTGTCCAGTATACCGTCGTATTTTTGCAACCATATTAAGTTTTAAACGTTGCAAATATTTACATTGATTCTACTACTTTTGAGATATTGTCAACGCGTTCTTGACGCTCCAGCTGTTGCCACCTACGCCGCTGCTCCAGCTGTTGCTGCCTAACACGCTGCTCCAGTCACAAAGAGCAATGTTTAGTGTGCTAGTTGCTTTGTGCACTTAAGTACACCCTATTTATTGACAGTCTACGTTCATTCAATACCGGTGAAGCTGACAGAGGCGCTAACCTGGAGTCTATTTTGTTCTCGAAGCTCTATTAAAATAATAAAATCCAGCGAAAACCTCCGCGAGGTTTACGCAAAACCAACATCCATTTTTTTAACCACCTCTAATTTAAAGATATATCAGAGGGATCCATAGAAAAAAGAGGTCTAAAAAAATGATGCGAGGAAGATATATTTGTTTTCTTATGCGTACAAAATGTTGACTTGTCTATAGTGTTAGGTGCCCACTTTTCTGTATTGATATATCTCGAGTTATATTGTGGTGCCACCTAAAACCGTGCCATCTGAGAACGCTCGTCCCAGTCAGGATTTTCCAAGGTGTTTAGCATGAGCTAGTCTTAAGAAAACTATAATTGGTTTTCAGCGTATCGTGTGTATCTGCGTCTTTAAACCAAAGTATTCAAGTTGACATTAGAATTAAGGCTAATAAAAAGGAAAACAATTCAGTTATCACCCACAGTGTGAAAGAAGCAATATTAAATTGAAAAAAACTCTGCTGATGTAAATATGTTGGCACTATCCTTGTTGCAGCTCCACGCTTGTCTCTTCCTGGCCCTTGCCAGCAGCGCCATCGCTGGTTACGTCCAGGGTGGCCTTGGCTACGGCCATGGCCTCGGCTACGGCCATGCCCTCGGCTACGGTAGCCTGGGCTACGCCGGTCTCGGCTTTGGCCATGGTCTTGGCTACTCTGGTCTCGGTTATGGCCACGTTGTTGGTCTTAACAACGGCTTCGGCTACTCTGGTCTCACCGGCTACAGCGTGGCTGCCCCAGCCCTGAGCCGCACTGTGGCCACTGCCTACCGTGCTGCTCCAGCTGTTGCCACCTACGCTGCTGCTCCAGCTGTTGCTGCCTACCACGCTGCTCCAGTCGCTAGTTACGCCGCTGTCCCAGCTGTCACCAAGGTCGCTACCTACCAGGCTGCTCCAGCTGTTGCCACCTACGCCGCTGCTCCAGCTGTTGCTGCCTACCACGCTGCTCCAGTCGCCACTTACGCCACTGCCCCAGCTGTCACCAAGGTCGCTACCTATCAGGCTGCTCCAGCTGTTGCTACCTATGCCGCTGCTCCAGCTTTTGCTGCCTACCACGCTGCTCCAGTCGCCACCTACGCCGCTGCTCCAGCCGTGACCAGGGTGTCCACCGTCCACGCTGCTCCAGCTGTCGCCAGCTACCAGACCTACCACGCTGCCCCAGCCGTCGCCACCGTTGCCCACGCTCCAGCTGTTGCTAGCTACCAGACATACCACACCGCTCCAGCTGTGGCTTCCTACGCCCACTCTGCTCCAGTCTACGGATACGGCGTCAACTCTCTCGGCTACGGTGCCGGCCACTTCGGTTACGGACACGGCCTGGGCAGCTACGGTCTGAACTACGGATACGGTCTCGGTACCTATGGAGACTACACCACCCTCCTCCGCAAGAAGAAGTGTAAGTACATGAACTTGTTTTTATTTTATAATAATAGGATTGGTGAAATTTAGTACAACCTTATGAATTATTTCTCTAAATGTATTTTTTATATTTCTACAGAAAATCTCCAAAGCTCTACTGCCATGAGTGGTAGCCACCAGGATTCTATGAAGAGATGTGTCCACTGCCAATATCTGCTGTCGTAAAGAAAGCAATAAAGTCGTCGAGTCTTCTCACTTTCACCTAGACTTGTGTCTATCTCAACTTCTCTACACAAGCTGTAGTATTTACGATATGTCGGTATTATTTTGGCATCTTGAAAATGTATTTAATTAAGAGTAATTGCTACTCTAAGATCACAACAATTCTCAGTATTTCGTATTCATTATCTAAAATAAGTTATTTTTAATTTTTGAAAAAAATATGCTCCTGGAACAACTGACATAAGGATCGGTACACGCCAACGCGAAGTTGAGCCCATTGTAGTCATGAAGCGGAAATGACAAAGCATGAACAGAAAACAAAACGCAACCGCAATGTTAACTTTGCAAAAAAAGGTTATTTTGCTCAGCCATTCTTGTTGAACCTTAAGCTAGGTTAAGAATCTCAGTTTCTGTCGCCAGCATTTCTTTCGGAACACTCTCTGTGTGTGATGGGGATTGGTGGCCTAATGAGTTGACGAACCGCATATCGGAGCACATGGAGAGAAAATGTCGCACTGAAGAATCCAGGTATCGTGAAAGAGAGATTGCGGTGGGACAGAAAATGAGCTACACTGTTAGCAAGTCCCGTGTACTTGGTGAATATTTGGGGTGAAAAACACGCTATTTACACAAATTACCAGAAATTTACACGTCGAGTAACGAATAATTCGTTCAAAAATCATGCGAGGTTGTAAAAAACGTGTTTTGGTTCGGTCATACACGCATAGCCGTGTAGCCGACCTCAAAAACACGCACCACCGCCGGCGACGACCGCAGCATTGCCGGCTACCGAAGCATCGGAATGCTTGGGAACAAACCTAGAACGGACCGTGGAGACGAATTCCGCGGAAAGGAACATGTCTCGGAGGCAGATATGCAACATAAGGAATTACGCCATGACGCGTGACGGGGCGAACCCCGCGCTTACCGTGCTTGCTGCCATTGTTTGTGGTCGACGATGGCAATGCGGCTTCCCTTATGTCGCCCTTGTTTGTATTTATTTTAGGGGTCTTGATAATTGTTTCTTACACACCTCAAATAAAGCTAGGGGTCTAATTACTCGTTCTAAACAGTTACAATGGATATAAAAAGCGTGCCCTCGACCTGAACAAGTGACATTGCAATTGGTTTCGTTTTGGCTTCAACCCTTCAACTGCAAGCGAAGGTGCCGCCACTTCCCATGCATCCTCCTCAGAATTTACGGCGCTCCATGATGGCCAGTGTTGCTGCATCTGTAGGTCATCTTTAAGTTAGCGCTGACAGAAAACTTTTGGCCACGACGAAACGCCGATGTAAGCTGGAAGCTAGAACCGGTTTTCTGTCGTTGTTTTTATTAGAAAATCTGGCAACAACGCACGTTTAACGTGGCGCCGGTATTCTTTTGGTTGGACGAGAAGGGTGGAAGCGGTGGAAGCTGCTCGGTTTGGCGAGCACATGTAGCGAAGACGTGACCGGGAGACGTGCCCCTGTGATGTTCCCGGACGATGGAAAGCATCATTCGTAATCGTCGTGTGTGCTTGGAAAGCGAAGGGAGTCACAGGGTCCACGAGTGCGCAACCACAAGCCAAGGTTCACGACAGCGCTGCGTTGACTTCGGCGATCTCGTTCTGTTTGGTGCAACGCGGCGATGCGACAAAGAGCTGAAGTGTTCGTGGTGTGTGGTGCAGTGCTTGGAGGTAGAACGCCTCACTAACACGGAGCGCGAATTGGTTGTTGTGGGGTTGAGGGACTGAACCCGTATACCGGTTCAGTCCCGTCGTCGTCAGCTGATCCGGTCCAGCTGGTCCGGGAGGACGCAGCGAGCGTTTTAATAAGTAAATCATCCTTCGTTTCGTTTCAAAATGTGGAAGTATCCCGACGCATACCGTGAGTAAAAAGCTGCGTTCGTTTTCAACAAATTTACGTTGTTTAAATTGAACAATGGATTCCGGATTGTTGTCCTAGATCTGCCGTTTTTATGCTTCGTGTTGGACTGCGTTTGCACAGCGACGCACACAGCTCGAGTAGATGACTCGGTCCTGCAAACGACCGGTTAACAGAATTTCAGGGAAACTTAAGTCACCACTGATATTTTCCTTTAAATTTCGTGCGAGTTTGTTGCGTTCGTCATGTGGTGTGAATAAATTGGGGCAAGATTTTCTACCTGCCCACAGATGCATGAACTGATACTATTTTTTACGTAGTGAACATAGTGCTTTTTTGTTATTTTGGAAAGAGGCGTTAGTGCATTTATTATGGTACAATCACTAGAGAGTTGAGAAATTGGAGAGAGCGAACAAGCTTTCCAAACTTTGTCTATTTTTTCTGGCACTTCCCTGTTTCAGTTTCAGTAGGCATATCTACAAGCAGGTACAAACTGCTCTAAAGCAGGTAAAAAACAGGGGAAGCTTAGGACGGTGCGCACTCCGTGGTGGAACATCCCGATGTAGTCTCCTGATGAAAAATTGTATAAGATGCCTGGAGAAGAAGCCTCAATAGGAGCGCGAATCGAGGAATAAACAAAAGAAAGCACTAAATCAAGGGAAGGATGATACTTATCCAGAGGAACCATAGGGACTTCACTTCGGGCTACACGCGCGCAGTCCATGTTTGAGAGACATAAATCTAAAGCATTACCTTGGTGGTTAAGAATATCGTTGTGTTGTGCAATATCTAAAAAAAAGAAACAAAGTTTAGGAGATTGTTGCCTTTCTGCTTGCAACAAAATTTGTCAGTAGAAACGTTAAACTGCGTCCAGTTGATGCCTGAAGCATTAAAATCACCTAACTCTAAGACATTACACCCGTGTAACTCGTTAACGGTGTTCTCTATTCCAGCGAGACACGTGCGAAAGTCGTCGGGCGTCGTTTGCGGAGGCAGGTAAAATAGGCCGATAAAAAGGCGTACTTTCTTTGCATACTCAATTTCTACCCATAAACTCTCGGGAAACTTTTCTACAGGCATTTCCGGTCTTTTCGACCGGAAATGCCTGTCAACGGCCACTAACACGCCGCCTCCAGTTGTATCACGCGTGGCTAAGTCGCGGTCACGCCGGTGCACCGCAAAAAAAGGTGGAAAGTAATCGGAGGACCCAATGTCACAGCATAACCAAGTTTCCGTCAAACAAAATATAAAATAATTGGATAGGGTAACGTTAGAAAAAAATTTCCGTTTTTGTGCGTAAGCCGCGGACGTTTTGATAAAATAAATCAACGTGACTCATCAACTTTCGTCGGTCGTGGGAGGGCCCCCTGAGACTTGGAGAAGGGCTTGTCGAAGGGTGCCTCTGAAAGTTTTGAAGAGGCAAGATTTCAGCCACACGGCAGGGTCAGCAAGTCTCACAAAATCCTCGGCAGCCATGGACACGTGGAAGGAGGAGTATGAGTCGTGCCGAGTCTTCAGACGCCGGCACTCCAGATTGTGGAGTCCGGCGGAGGATAGGTGAGAGGAGACATTCTCACAGGTGGTGTCCGGCGCCAGTTTGGTGACTAATAAGGTTCTCCGACTCATTGACGGCGAGGCGACGCTCAGTTTCGAGGTCTCGGATGCCCCAGTCAGCGCGGGGGTTCGAGCCTTCGAGCGCGTCGGCCCCAGACGCGCCGCTCGCCCGTCACGAACATCATCCTGGCATGATGCAGTGGAGTGTGCAGGGGTGGAGTGTGCACTGCCCCTGGCCCCCGATGCCGACTGCGTTGACTGCGGTAGGGCTAGGATCCCAGATTCAGTTGGCGAGCTCTGTAGCTTCTCCTCGGGCCTCTGCGGCAGTTTTCGCTCCTGAGAAGCGGGCGGGGAGCCGCGGCTCTGAACAATGGCAGCAAAAGACGATGCCCCACTTGACTTCCCCAAGCCTGCAACTTGAGCGCGACAAGCCTTGACCTCGTCCCAGACCGAGCAGACGAGCAACGTTTGTTGCTCCGTCGATCGCGCCCATTCAGTCCTGAGCCGCCTATTTTCCTCGGTCAGGCAGGCCACCTGGTCCGTCAGAAACGAGATCCCCTCCAAAGCGTCGAGGAGGAGACCGTGCAGAAGCTGTTGGGATTGTTCAAGATCACCGCGCTGGGCAGCCGCGCGAGCCGTGCAGGAAGAAACGGTCGAGGGGGAGCCGCCGTCCCTCTGGTTGTCGCCGTCGTCGTTGTCACCGGCAGCTGCTCGCCGGGGTCATACTCCTCGCTAGCCCTAACAACCCCTTCGTTAGGGCTAGCAGGTAGGGAGCCATCGCAGTGGCTGCAGATAAATGGGCTTACCCCACTTGGTTAGAAGAAGGAGCTCCTCGGCCGCGAGCATTAAACATCTTTGACGTACGCGATGGCGGAACTCGGCGCAGCGAAATCTGGGCTGCCTCCCGAAAAACACACGGAGACAGACGCAGCATGCATAATAATAATAATAAGTAATAAATAAATAAATAAATAATACATTTTTATTTGAACACGGATTTAACAAGGCAGATACACTGGCCTGTCAAAGCCAGAAGCGGCTTGTGGGACAGCACCCTACAATTCATGCTTGCAAGGGTCCCAACAAACAAGTAGTTCAAAACTCAAACTCAACTACAAATGCAGAACAATGTAGGTGGTGATGGTTATTCCAACATGTGCACACAGAAACATACAGTCACAACATCTCCCTAATATTTTGGAGTGATTCTTTCAATTTTTTTAAAGAGTCTACAGCATAGATATCATCTGGTAAATTGTTGAAAATAAATGGAACGTAAAAATTTCGCACTCTTTTTCCGTACTTTGTTTCTTCGAAAGGCACTTCAAACCGCTCAACACGCCGAAGAGGTCTACATAAGACACGAGGTATCTTAAAAGTATCGCTCCAGAAGTATTTTAGAACAACCGTGTGTACAAGTAAAGGATAAAAAAAAAAGGCAAACCCAGGCATGTTAGCATTTCTTCTTCAGTTTGTGACGTTGCACCGTACATTATGCTTTTAAATATTCCTTTTAAAACTGAGTCAATTTTTTTTGCCCCATAGTCCTGGGCTGTGACCAAAAATAGTTATTCCGTAACGTAATACACTGTATGCTAAAGCGTTAGTTATTGTCTTTTT